TTGGATCCTTCTATTGACTTCCTTCAAGATTTCCTCATGCTGTGACAGTGCGAGGAAAGTGCAGGCAATAACCGGAAACAGAATTTAACGGTGATCTGTGCGTCATTGGACACGACCGATCACGTGGTAAAAGGCCACTGTGATTGGCCTTTACCACATCATGTGGTTAGCTGTGTCCATAGGACACAGCAATCATGGAGATTGCCTGGGGCGTGCGGGAGGACGTCATAGGACACCCTCCCAGGACTGGAAACCGCACTGTAGCCGTCCTTCAGTTATAGCACAGTTGGCAAGTGGTTAAAGCAAAACTTTAGGTATATTATTCGCATAGTTTTGCATCTCTCATACTCAGAAGCTGCAAATCACTGGAGCAGTCGGAGCTACTACAGTGATACAGTGGATATAAAAAAGTCTTCACACCCCTGTTAAAATGTCAGGTTTCTGAGATGTAAAAAAACAAGACAAAGATAACTAATTTCAGAACTTTTTCCACCTTTAACTACCTGCCGACCGCAGATAGCCGAATGACGGCTTCACTGCGGCCAGCCAGTTCTGAGTGGACGTCATATGACGTCCCCCCCAGAACGCGCTCTCCTGAGCGCCCCAGGGGGCGCGCACTCGGCGATCTCCGTGATCGCTGTGTCCTACGGACACAGCTGATCACGTGATGTGGTAAAAGGCCAATCACAGTGGCCTTTTACCACCTGATCAGCAGTGTCCAATGACACGCTGATCAGAGGGAAATGCAAGTGCCGGTTCTCGGCTGCACTTTCCTCACGCTGTCAGATCGTGAGGAAAGTACTGCCGAGAACCGGCAGTTGTCAGAGCGGGGATCGGCACCGATCATCAGGGCACTGATGATCGGTGCCCAGCAGTGCCACCCGCAAGTTCCGCCCACCTGTGCCCAGTAGTGCGCCCACTAGCTCCGCCCACCTGTGCCCAGCAGATCACCCACCTGTGCCCAGCAGTGCACCCACCTGTGCCACTCTGCAGTGCCACCTACCTGTGCCCAGAAGTGCCACCTACATGTGCCCAGCAGTGCCACCCACCTGTGCCCACCAGTGCCACCCACCTGTGCCCACTCACCAGTGCTGCCCAACAGTGCAGCCAGTCAGTGCCACCAGTCAGTGCCCAGGGGTTGTGCCAGTCAGTGCCGCCAGTCAGTGCCGTCTATCAGTACCCATCATCAGTGTCACCTATCACTGCCGCCCATCAGTGCTGCATATCAGTGCCGCCTATCCGTGCCACCTCATTAGTACTGCCTATCAGTGCCCTTCAGTGCTGCCTATCAGTGCCCATCAGTACCGCCTATCAGTGCCCATCAGTGCTGCCTCATCAACGTACATCAGTGAAGGAGAAAAAATGCCTGTTTGAAAAATTTTATAATAGAAACAAAGAAACTTTTTTTTTCAAATTTTTTGCACTTTTTTATTTATAGCGCAAAAAGTAAAGCGCCCAGCGGCGATTAAATACCACCAAAAGAAAGCTCTATTTCTGAGAAAAAAATGATCAAAATTTCATATGGGTACAATGTTGCATGACTGTGCAATTGTCAAAGTGCAGCAGCGCTGAAAGCTGAAAATTGGCCTGGTAAATAAGGGGGTATAAGTGCCCGGTAGGCAAGTGGATAAACTGTACAACTCAATTGCAGAACAAACTGCAATTAAACTTTTATGTGGAGGGAAGAATGAAAAATTAAAATAATCTGGTTGCATAAGTGTTAACACCCTTACACTAATCCTTTGTTGAAGCCCCTTTTGATGTGATTCCAGCACTCAGTCTTTTTGGGGAGGAGTCTATCAGCACGGCACATCCTGACTTGGCAAGATTTTCCCGCTCTTCCTTGAAAAACACTCCAAATCTGTCAGATTGCGCATCATCTCCTGCGCACAGCCCTCTTCAGATCACCCCACAGATTTTCCATCGGATTCAGGTCTGGGCTCTGGCTGGGCCATTCCAAACCTTTCACCTTCTTCTGGTGAAGCCATTCCTTTGTTGATTTGGATGGATGCTTTGGGTGGTTGTCATGCTGAAAGGTGAAGTTCCTCTTCATGTTCAGCTTTCTAGCAGAAGGTTTTGTGCCGATATTGATGGTATTTGGAACTGTTCATAATTCCCTCTACATGGACTAAGGCCCCAGTTCCACCTGAAGAAAACAGCCCCAAAGCATGATGCTGCCACCACCATGCTTCACAGTGGGTATGGTGTTCTTTTGGTGATGTGCAGTGTTGTTTTTGCACCAAACATATCTTTTGGAATTATGGCCAAAAAGTTTAGCTTTGGTTACATCAGACCAGAACACATTTTCCCACATGATTTTAGGAGTCTTCAGATGGGTTTTTGCAAAATCTAGCCGGGCTTGGATGTTTTTTCTTCGTAAGAAAAGGCTTCCGTCTTGTCACTCCCCCCCATAACCCAGAGATATGGAGAATACGGGAGATTGTTGTCACATGGACCACACAGCCAGGACTGGCCAGATATTCCTGCAGCTCCTTAATGTTGCTGCAGGCCTCTTGGCCGCCTCCCAGGCCAGTTTTCTTCTCGTCTTTTCATCCATTTTGGAGGGACATCCAGTTCCTGGTGATGTCACTGTTGGTGATGTCACTGTTGCGCCATATTTTCTCCACTTGATGATGACTGTCTTCACTGTGTTCCATGGTATATCTAATGCCTTGGAAATTCTTTTGTTCCCTTCTCCTGACTGACAACTTTTAACAATGAGATCCCTCTGATGCTTTGGAAGCTCTCTGTGGACCATGGCTTTTGCTGTAGGATGCGACTAAGAAAATGTCAGGAAAGACCTACTAGAACAGCTGACCTTTATTTGGGGTTAATCAGAGGCACTTTGACGGCAGGTGTGTACTGACTCCTATGGAACATGATTTTGAATGTGATTGCTTCATTCCGAACACAGCTACATCCCCAGTTATAAGAGGGTGTGCACACTTATGCAACCACATTATTTTAGTTTTTTTTATTTTTATGTCCCTCCACCTAAGATTTCAGTTTGTTGTCCAACTGAGTTGTACAGTTTATAGGTCACATTAAAAAGGTGGGAAAAGTTCTAAAATTATTTATCTTTGTGTCATTTTTTTTTTTTTTTTTACATTAGAGAAACCTGACATTTTAAACAGGGGTGTGAAGACTTTTTATATCCACTGGCTTGTATCTTGAAAAGAAAAAAAGACTGGAAGATTACTGTTACAATCTATGATTGGAGAAGGTGGGATCATGACTTCACCACCTCATCCAATCAGTAAATGTCTTGTTCTCATTAACCACTTTACAACCGCCCGCCATGTACTGCGACTGTACAGACAGTCACTGTAGGCAAAGAGACACAAGCCAGTCTCCAGATCTCAACCCCATAGAAAACCTTTGGAGGGAGTTGAAAGTCCGTGTTGCCCAGCGACAGCCCCAAAACATCACTGCTCTAGAGGAGATCTGCATGGAGGATGGGCCAACATACCAGCAACAGTGTGTGCCAACCTTGTGAAGACTTCCAGGAAACGTCTGACCTCTGTCATTGCCAACAAAGGATATATAACAAAGTATTGACATGAACTTTTCATATTCACCAAATACTTATTTTCCACCATAATTTGCAAATAAATTCTTTCCAGATCAGCCAATGTGATTGTCTGGATTTGTTTTCTCATTTTGTCTCTCATAGTTGAGGTCTCCCTATGATGCCAATTACAGGCCTCTCTCATCTTTGTAAGTGGGAGAACTTGTACAATTGGTGGGGACTAAATACTTTTTTGCTCCACTGTATACACACACACATATATATATACACACACACACACATACACACACACACACACATATATATATACACACACACACACGTGATACAGCGCAGCAGGACTGCATTGTAGCAGTAAAGCTGCAAGAGGCGGTCCAGAACTGCTGAGTTGAACAAGCTGAAGGTAGAAGCCGATTGGCTCCCAGGCACCAGATTCTGAATGCTCTGGTTTTAGTAAATCCCCCCCCAATTGGTCAATAAGGGCCGTCCATTGCGCTGCAAACTCCCGTTAGACCAGCATGCACATAGTAAAGCAGACAGCAATCGGCGATCAGAGAATAACCACATGGCTCCAAGAGCGAGTTGGCAGAGTGCTTTATTGCAACTCCTAAAAAGGCAGGACTAGGCCACAGGCCACGGTTGTTATCACATGACAGCACCAGCCAATCCAAGTGCACTTTTCTTGCAATATCGTTTGGGAAGTTCCGATTGGCCGCGTTTTGTCACGCGCACAGCAACGTTGCGGGCAGGGGCCTCCTCAATCACACCGGCCCGATCTATACGCAACCAGGCCCCCCCACCCCTCCCGACTCTTAAATAAGCAAATCTCATAGAACGGCAGGCCGAGGACAAGGGCCCGCGCTCCCGTACATCCAGTGACTAGGTGTTATTGGATTCCACTAACCCATTGCATTAGCTGCCCTGTGAGACGAGACCGAGAACAGGCAGAATTGTGACGTCAGTACAGTGGTCGATGATTTCTGTGGTGTAAGTAGAAGGAAGCTGAGCTCGAAACGTCTTGGGTGAAAAGTCTTCAAAAAACCTAAAAAGTTCAAGTAATAGAGTCCGGGATACAGGCCCGGACGGTAGAAAAGTCTATAAAATGTCGCAGACTCTGCCCGGATCGGCAGCAGACAAGAAGTTTGTTATTAAAAAAAAAAAAAAGTTAGTATCAGCATATTGTGTCCTTTCTGGCAGTGATGACTCCTTGATCCTCAAGTTCTTAATGCTGACCCCCAAAAACTGCATTGAAGGACATTCCCAGCATTGCCACGAGAGCAAGGAGCGTTGTACAATCTGAGGAGAGAGGGAGAGAGACGGGTCACAGCGAGGAACAACAGATGGATGCAACTGTCATTGATGAAGAACACGGCTGATGTCCAAGTCGGCCCTTCCCAACCGGGGGGCATCGGGCTGCTTAGGGGTGTTGTACTGACATGCTAAAAACTACAGCAACAAAAGCCCCCACGTACTGCTCCCTGACCGACTTACCACTCCCTAGAACTCCCAGACCGCCCTGCCGCTCCCTAGTACTTCCTGACCCGCTCCCTACCGTTCCCCGACCCCCCCCCCCCGCTCCCTATATCCGCTCTCCCCCCCCCCCCGCATTCGCTATATCCGCTCTCCCCGGACCCCGCATTCGCTATATCCGCTCTCCCCGGACCCCGCATTCGCTATATCCGCTCTCCCCGAACCCCGCATTCACTATATCCGCTCTCCCCGGACCCCGCATTCACTATATCCGCTCTCCCCGGACCCCGCATTCACTATATCCGCTCTCCCCGAACCCCGCATTCACTATATCCGCTCTCCCCGGAACCTGCATTCACTATATCCGCTCTCCCTGGACCCTGCATTTACTATATTCGGTCTCCCCGACCCCGCATTCACTATATCCGCTCTCCCCGGACCCTGCATTCACTATATCCGCTCTCCCCGGACCCTGCATTCACTATCGCTGGTCTCCCACAGTACTCACAACATGGAAATGCAATTGTTTTAGTAAATACAAACTGCTAAATCCCTTTTCTCATCAGCAGTATATATCAGTCTTGTGACTTCTATCAGTGTCCAGGAGAGCACTGGTTAAAGCTTATAGAAGGAGTAATCTTTCTCCTCTAGGAGGATGCAGGACCCCTGACCTGTGTCTGGACAGTGCTGATTGGGCCTATGCTGATCATATGCACTCTCCCAAGGAAAAAAAAAAACTGGGCATGTGCAGAGCGACTCCACACCATATGTTATCAGGCGATAACAGGGGGACACTAGAAGAAGGGGAGGATCGGAGAAGACAGGATCAAACAGCCTTTTTACACAATGCGGAGGATTCACCCCTTAGGGTCCTCAGTGAGTATATCAAGCATGCTTTACGGCATCTACAGACTGATTGTACTGTTGGGGGTTAGTAACACTTTAAACACTATTAAAATGGCTCCTCAAAGCTACATTCCTTCACGGAACACCTACCGGTCCGGTCACCCATACCTCTTACCTTCACTCGCACATAGCACCCAGGGGTGGGATCCACAGTGCAGACACTTTAATATATTTTTTTTTTTTTTTATGTTTCAGTTGATTTACTACAAACGCAGCTTAGATGAACATGAAACAGAGCAGTGATTGGCTCACCATTGAGCACTGTCAGTGGGATTTCTGCAGCTTGTCCTTCTTTTGCACCAGGACTAACCGTAGATAAGGCAGTGCAAAGAGCAGCAATAAGAAGAATAAATGGCCCATAAAATAGACCGATATGTACACCTGCAGGGACAGAAGAAGAAGAGCGTCATTCATTCACGTCTCTGTAAGGATCAGTATTTTACTTTCCATTCTGCATTACAGTCTTTATTATTTATTTCAGGTACTTCTATATCGCCATCAATTTACGCAGCACTTTACATATATATTGTACATTCACATCAGTCCCCGCGCTCCTTCATTCAAGCCGGCATGGGCAAAAGCTTCGCTGATCGAGGACTCTACTGAGATGTAAAAGGTTTACCCCCTTCAGTGCCGTGCGCTTGCACCCCCTTCCTGACCAGAACGATTTTTGGCTTTCAGTGCCGTTGCACTTTGAATGACAATTGCGCGGTCATGCGACACTGTACCCGTATAATATTTTAGCTTTTTTTTTTTTTTTTTTTTTTTTTTTTTTTTTTTTGACAGACAGTTTTCTTTTGGTGGTATGTCATCACCACGGAGGTTTTTATTTTTTGCTAAATAAATTAAGACAGACCACACATTGTTTGAAAAAAAAAAAAAAACACACACCCTTTTATTTGTTATAAAATTTATCAAATAAGGTACTTTTTTTCTTCTTCACTGATGTGCACTGATGAGGCTGAGGCTGGGGAAGCTGAGGCGGACAGGCGGGCACTGGGGAGGCTGCGGCGACAGGGGGGCACTGGGGAGGACTGAGGCGACAGGGGGGCACTGGGGAGGCTGAGGCGACAGGGGGGCACTGGGGAGGCTGAGGCGACAGGGGGGCACTGGGGAGGCTGAGGCGACAGGGGGGCACTGGGGAGGCTGAGGCGACAGGGGGGCACTGGGGAGGCTGAGGCGACAGGGGGGCACTGGGGAGGCTGAGGCGACAGGGGGGCACTGGGGAGGCTGAGGCGACAGGGGGGCACTGGGGAGGCTGAGGCGACAGGGGGGCACTGGGAGGGGAGGCTGCGGCGACAGGGGGGCACTGGGGAGGCTGAGGCGACAGGGGGGCACTGGGGAGGCTGAGGCGACAGGGGGGCACTGGGGAGGCTGAGGCGACAGGGGGGCACTGGGGAGGCTGAGGCGACAGGGGGGCACTGGGGAGGCTGAGGCGACTGTCGGTTTAGGCTGAACCGACAGGGGGGCACTGGGGAGGCTGAACCAATGTCTATAGATGTCCTCCCACCACGAGAGAACCGCGCCATGGCCGTCTTCTGGCTATAGCGAAGCATTAAATTGGTTAAATGTCACATTGTTACAGACCATTTGGATGTTCACTTTAACCATTAGCCGCCCAGCCAATGGCCGAATGGCAGCGTGCAAAATTCATTAGCGCTCCGGGTGGACGCCATACGGCAGTTTGTGCGCCTGCAGAGCCGCAAGATCTGTCACAGGCCATGTACCTCGGACACAGCCGATGACAGATCTGAGTACCGGCCCCCGTTGCCGATATTATTATTATAGATTGTTTATATAGCGCCAAAGGGTTCGCTCAGCGCTGTACAATAGCAAGGGGGGACAGAACATGAGACAAGACAGAAACAAAACAATACACGAGGGGTGCGAGGGCCCTGCTCCTTGGAGCTTACAATCTAGGAGGGAGGGGATAGTGGTACAGGAGGAGATAGCTGTGGGGGATGGAGTGGTAGGAGGAGTGGAGGAGATCGGCTGTTAGGTGAGGTTGGGGTAGGCTTCCCTGAAGAGATGGGTTTTCAGTGTGCGCCTAAAGGTGAGGAGGGTAGGTGACAGTCTGATGGATTGGGGTAGGGAGTTCCAGAGGATGGGGGAAGTCCTGGTGAAGTCCTGCAGTCGGGCGTGGGATGAGGAGACCAGGGAGCTAGAGAGTAGGAGGTCCTGTGAGGAGCGGAGGGCACGGGTAGGGTGGTATTTGGGTATCAGGTCGGTGAGGTAGTTTGGGGCAGCGTTATGAATGGCTTTGTAGGTCAGAGTTAGTAATTTGAAACCATGTGACCTGCTGTATACAATGGATGGCTTCCTTTCACACCATCCATTGTATACAAGTGTGTCTAGTTGTGAATGGTCACAGTGATCACATGCACGAGCTGGGCTAATCACAGCCCAGCTGTGTCATGTGATTAGCTGTGGCCAAATCACAGCTAAGCACAAAAAAAAAAAAAAAAAAAAAAAAGCCCTGAATGAATCGATGTCATTCAGGTAAATGCTTGCTTATAGCAAAGTAATTCTTTGCTATAAGCAAATTGTGTAAAAAAAAAAAAAAAAAATACTGATCACTTCCCCAAAGTAGTACAATGTTACTATGGTAACATTGTACTACTTTGGTCATAGTGAAAAATGAAAGGAAAAAAAAAAAAAAGTAATAAAAAATTAAAAATAAAAAAAAAATTTTAATTTTTTTTTTTCTTTTCCATACTGTCACCAGTCAGTGTCCCTGATCACCGCCATGCCAGTTATGATGATGCACTGGTGACAGTATGTAAAAAAAAAAAATAGTGAAAATAATTTTTTTCATTTTTTCATTTTCCGAAAAATGATGACAAAAAAAAAATACAACTTCAAAAAATTCGCCATGCCTCTTATGAAGCACATCAGACTGTCTACTCTGCAAAAAGGGGTCAATTGGGGGATATCTGTACCGTCCTGACATTTGGGGGATATCTGTACCGTCCTGACATTTGGGGGATATCTCCTGACAGGGGATATCTGTACATTTGGGGGATATCTGTACCGTGCTGACATTTGGGGGATATCTGTACCGTGCTGACATTTGGGGGATATCTGTACCGTGCTGACATTTGGGGGATATCTGTACCGTGCTGACATTTGGGGGATATCTGTACCGTGCTGACATTTGGGGGATTTCTGTACTGTACCGTGCTGACATTTGGGGGATATCTGTACTGTGCTGACATTTGGGGGATATCTGTACTGTGCTGACATTTGGGGGATATCTGTACTGTCCTGACATTTGGGGGATATCTATCTGTACTGTACCTGACATTTGGGGGATATCTGTACTGTGCTGACATTTGGGGGATATCTGTACTGTGCTGACATTTGGGGGATATCTGTACCGTCCTGACATTTGGGGGATATCTGTACGTGCTGACATTTGGGGGATTTCTGTACTGTGCTGACATTTGGGGGATATCTGTACTGTGCTGACATTTGGGGGATATCTGTACTGTGCTGACATTTGGGAGATATCTGTACTGTTCTGACATTCTTGGACCTCAAGAAATTAGATTGGCTGTCAGTACTTCAGGATTGATCAATATTCAGATCTATCCCATAGTTTTGTGAACTCTATAACTTTCCTACAAACTAAATAATACATCCTAATTTGGGTTATTTTCACCAAAGACATGTAGCAGAATACATCTCGGCCTAAATTTATGAAGAACAATTTATTTGCAAACATTTATAACAGAAACAAAGAAAAACATTTCTTTTTCAAACTTTTCGGCCTTTTTTTGTTAATTTAGCAAAAAATAAAAACCCCGGCGGTGATTAAATAACACCAAAAGAAAGCTCTAGTTGTGTGAAGAAAATGATAAAATTTTAGTTTGGGTACAATGTTGTATGACCGCGCAATTGTCATTTAAAGTGTGAGAGCGCTGAAACCTGAAAAATGGCCTGGGCAGGAAGGTGTAAAATTGCCCGGCATTGAAACGGTTAAATCAGCGAATACCTTCCAGGTGCATCAAAGTAAAGGACCTGTGCAAAGTCTTCCAGGATGCCACAACCTGCATAGTAAGGAACGTTCCTGGCCAGCAGGCTCCAGGAAAGGATCCCTGCTCTGTGTATGGAAGCAGTAGTCTTTCTGCAGAGGTCAGACACACCCTCCGCTCCCAGCACCCTCTTGAGTCAGCAAAGCTCGTGCACCCTGCACAGTCTCAGCAGGAGGAGTAAAGGACCTCAGGACCTCCGACTAACCAGAGGGGTGGAGACCACGGCTTCCATATACAGCGTACATGCTGGGCGGAGGGGTGTTGAACCCTGCTACCCCCTTTAGTTGCAGAGGCGGGGGTGTACACATTTCGAGACCACAATACTTTGCGGCAGGCAGATGTAGCGCCAACTGAACAATAGTGCAGGGATCAAAGGCGAAACAGGACAGGCTTTTCTACTCAGGCTGTGGCTGCTTTATAAAAAAAAAACAAAAAAAACCTGTAAGACTTTACACACCTTTTTATTTTAATGCGCCTGGAATATATTTAGTCGATTTAAACTGAAATCTCAGTTGAAATCACTGGATCGATTTGCAAGTCGCACCCTATCGTCCGCAATTACAGCGGCCATATCGGCGCGGTTCAGACTGGGTGGAAGCCGCACTGATTCCTAGTAGCGCATGCACTACTTTTGGTGTGTTTTGCAGAGACATCGGTGTCAGACGTCTTGTAAATCGCACCTGAAATCGGCATGTGATCTGACTCTGAAAGCGTGCGACTTGCAGTGAAGCCGCACAATTTCAAAGTCAGGATCGATGTGACGTGGGGGGGGGTAAAACTTTTTGCCCGTAAACAGTTTCCAAGCAACAACTGCCAGCAAAGGGGACACAAAGGGATTCCCGGAATATTTCTGTAGGTTTGGTTTCATACGCCGGAGAGACCGGTTGTCCCCGCTAGGTCTGTATCCACGGATTAATATACAGGAGACACACAGCAGGATCTAGCAGAGGGGTCTTTGCTGGAAGATTATCAGGATTATCCCCTGTGATGGTACCAGGCTTTTCCTGTACATATTCCCAATGATTACACTCCATGTGTTGCCAGCTAAGACACAAATCCATGTTCTATGGGATTCACACACAAAACACAAAAAAACAAAAAAAAAGAACAAAATACAAAAAATGCAAAACATAAAAAAACAAAAACAAGAACAAAATACAAAACAAAAACACCGACCCCAAAGAAAAAAAAAAAAAAACAGGCAAGTTCGATGGCCCACTCTGTCTATTTCTGCCATCACTTTTCTATATTTCCTTGCAGTCACAGGTCCACAATAAAGCAAACCTGTCTATGTAAACCACAAGTACCATCGCCGCCTCCCGGCCCTTTAAGAGGTTCTAAATGCCGGGAGGTGGAGGTGAGCATTCCGGTCATGTGAACGCTGTGACTAGCAGTTACAGCGGTCACATGATCAGAAAGCTCCTTTCCATAGCGATGGGCAGACGCGTACGCAGGGAGGGGTATATGCAGGAAGTGCAATTCTATCAGTGCCCATCAATGCCACATATCAGTGCCAGTCTGAGTTATCTTTCAGTGCCGCCTATCAGTGCCCAGTCAGTGCACATCAATGCCACATATCAGTGCCCATCTGAGTTGCCTTTCAGTGCCGTCCATCAGTGCCCAGTCAGTGCTGCCCATCAGTTTCCGTCTATCAGTGCCATATATGAGTGCTGCCTTTCAGTGCTCCTCATCAGTGCAGCCTAACGGTGCCCCTCGCTGCAGCCTCATTAGCGCGCATCAGTGAAGGAGAAAAATTACTCATTTACAAACTTTTATAACAGAAACTAAGAAAAACTTTTTTTTTTTTTTAATATTGTCTGTTTTTGGTTTGTTTAGCAAAAAATAAAAAAGCCCGAGGTGATGAAATACCACCAAAAGAAAGCTCTATATTAAAAAGAAAAAAAAAAAAAAAAAAAGATAAAAACGTCATATTGGTACAGTGTTGCATGACCCGCGCAATTGAAATTCAAAGTGCGACAGCGCTGAAAGCTGAAACTTGGCCTGGGGACAGGAAGGGGGTGACGGTGCCCGGCGGGCAGGAAAGGGGGAAGGGAAGGGGGCGACGGTGCCCGGCGGGCAGGGAAGGGGGCGACGGTGCCCGGCGGGCAGGGAAGGGGGCGACGGTGCCCGGCGCGGGCAGGAAGGGGGCGACGGTGCCCGGCGGGCAGGGAAGGGGGCGACGGTGCCCGGCGGGCAGGAAGGGGGGTGACGGTGCCCGGCGGGTAGGAAAGGGGGTGACGGTGCACGGCGGGCAGGAAGGGGGTGACGGTGCACAATGCGGGCAGGAAAGGGGGTGACGGTGCCCGGCGGGTAGGAAAGGGGGTGACGGTGCCCGGCGGGTAGGAAAGGGGGTGATGGTGCACAATGGGCAGGAAGGGGGTGACGGTGCCCGGCGGGCAGGAAAGGGGGTGACGGTGCCCGGCGGGTAGGAAAGGGGGTGATGGTGCACAATGGGCAGGAAGGGGGTGACGGTGCCCGGCGGGCAGGAAAGGGAGTGACGGTGCCCGTGCGCGCAGGAAAGGGAGTGACGGTGCCCGGTGGCGAGGGGTTGAATCCCTGGCAACGGCTGCTTTACTGCCCTCTGAAAAGCAATCCGCCACAGATCGCTTTTCATGCAAATGAGCCCTGATCTATTTTATTTATCTTTATTTTTAACATCCTTTTTTTTTTTCTCTTCTGGGAGAGCAAAATGGGGAATTACCAAACAGTGGTGCAAGCAAATTGCTTGCACTGCTCTTGTAAACATAAGAAACCAAGCTGACGCTGCTCCTAATTAACAAAAAAGGTGAAAAGGACACTTTTTTTAAAAAATGATGAGCGATCGGTTCTCTGTTCTGCTGTGACCACAACAGACACAGCACAGAGAACAGGAGAGCTGGAGCTGCATGCACTCATCTCTCTGTCGTTCCCCGATCCGATCAGCTCAGAGTGGGAGGGAGGAGAGGGACTGTGAACCCTGCAGGCTCTGCTCGTGTAGCAGAATTACTGCACAGGGATGTGAGCTGTTTGCTGCCAGCTTTCATCCCTTATAGGTGACATCTGGTGGAAACCTGCGACAGTTTTCTACATGGGAATCTGCAAGTTTTCTACATGGGAATCTGCAACAGTTTTCTATATAGAAAACTGCCGCATTCCCTCTGTTAATTCGGTGCACACCCTGTGCTGGTTTCATGTCACTTTGAATCAGAAACTGGCGCATGTGGTGTAGATAAACCTGAAGCAGGTCCATCTCCTCAGTTAATGGAGAGCGTTCCTCAGAGTGTATCTCCTCCTTACAGAAGAGACACATGCAGGGAGACATCCAAAACAAACGATCGATGTGTTTATCACAGCGATCACATGATCAGGGGCTCGTCCTTCTGGCTCCCAAACATTAGTCCAGGACGAGGCGCTGTCGGGGACAGTTTGGTGTCTGTGCTGGGAGCACGGTACAGAGCACGCTTCCAACATAAACTCTTCTGTGGCACACATATGTAAGCAAAGATCTGTGACTCCACATACGTGTTACCTTGGTGTCAGAGGTTAAACCAGCCTTCTATAGTGACAGCAGGAATATTTCGGGGGTCAGCATGCTGCACCTGTTGGTTATCCAGATACTCCACTGCACCCTGGGGACCCTGCGACTGCACTGCACCATGGGGAACCCCCCTCAAGATCCTCCACTGAACCCTGGGGACACCTACCGGAGACTTACCCACACCCAAGAGCCTCTGCTGAACCCTGGGGACTCCCCTCCCCCCTTACCTTGAGCCACTTGTCCCAGGTGAAAAGGCAGAATGGCACCAACGGGTATCCCATGAAGAGCCAGTGGATGAACTGCTGCGCCACATACAGAGGAGGACGCAGGACCGATATGGAGCAGATCTGTGACAGCAGGGGGCTATCCCTCACCAACTCAATGGCCTGCAGAGACAAACGCACAGAACATCAGATGGAAAATACTAACATTCCCCCCCCCCACCACACTTCTATATTGCAGCTATATTTACCCCCCCCCATCCACTTCTCTATTGCGTCTACATTTTACCTCCCCCCTCCACTTTTATATTGCATCTGTATTTACCTCCCAACCCCCCTCCACTTCTATATTACTTCTCTATTTACCCCTCCCCCCCTTCTATGTTACAGTTATATTTAACCTGCCCCACCACCACCACACTACTTCTATATTGCATCTATATTTACCCCCCCCCCCCTTCCCCCACACTTCCATATTTACCACCCCAGCCCCCTCCACTTCTGTATTAATTCTCTTTACCCCCGAACCCTTATATTTACCCCCCCCCCACACACTTTTATATTACATCTATATTTACCCTCCCCCCTCCACTTTTATATTGCATCTGTATTTACCCCCCCAACCCCCTCCACTTCTATATTACTTCTCTATTTACTCCCCCCCCCCCCCCCCCCTTCTATGTTACATTTATATTTAACCTGCCCCACCACCACACTACTTCTTTATTGCATCTATATTTAACCCCCCCCCCCCCCCCACGCTTCTATATTACTTCTATATTTACCCCCCCCCCCAACCCTTATATTTACCCCCCCACACACACTTCTATATTACATCTATATTTACCACTCTCCCCCCACCCACGCACACTTCTATATTACATCTATATTTACCCCCTCCACACTACTTCTATATTGCATCTAAAGTTACCCCCCCCCCCCACACACACACACACACACTTCTGTATTACAGCTAGATTTAACCCCCCCCCCCCCACTTCTACATTACATCTATATTTAGCCCCCCCATTATATTACATCTATATTTACCCCCCCCCCCTTTATATTACATCTATATTCCCCCCCCCCACACACATATTTTATATTACATCTATATTTACAAAAAACCCCCCCATTATTTATATTACATCTATAATTACCTCCCCCCCATTATATTACATCTATAATTCCCCCCCCCCCCCATTATATTACATCTATATTTACCCCCCCCCCCCATTATATTACATCTATATTTACCCCCCCCCCCCCATTATATTACATCTATATTTACCCCCCCCCCCCATTATATTACATCTATATTTACCCCCCAATTATATTACATCTATATTACCCCCCCCCCCCCCCCAATTATATTACATCTATATTTACCCCCCCCCCCCCACATTATATTACATCTATATTTACCCCCCCATTATATTACATCTATATTTACCCCCCCCCCCCCCATTATATTACATCTATATTTACCCCCCCATTATATTACATCTATATTTACCCCCCCCCACACACATACTTTTATATTGCATCTATATTTACCCCCCCCCTTATTATATTACATCTATATTTACCCCCCCCCATTATATTACATCTATATTTACCCCCCCCCCCTTCCCCATGGGTCTGACCTGTTTTTCTCCACTACAACAATCAGGAACTCCAGGGAGAAGCAGACGAGGTATCCAGAATGCAAGCCGTGCCAAACGGCCAGGAAGAAGAGGGCGGCTGCCTGAGAGATGGCCTTGTTCCCGAGGAATCGGAGACGTTTGAAAACATATCTGTGGGAGAAAGATTCACAACAGGTCTAAGTCCCAACTGGATGACAATTATTCTGCAGAGTACTGGGAGTCACAAACGTCCAAAAATGCACTGCCTGCTCTTCCTGCAGCTTCTCCACTGAAGTCTATTGAACTGAAAAATGCATCGTTTTGTGTTCAAAAATTCCCCGACCCTTTCCAAAAACGCAGTGGATGGAAAACGCATGGATGCGAATGTGTCCCATTGGAAACCATATAATGCATTTCTGCAAAAAGCACAAAAAAAAAAAAAAAAAAACGGTGTGAACCGGGCTTGAACCCTGTGCCCTTGCTAGATATCTATTTTCCTGACTGCAGGATTTTTTTTCTTTTTTACCATAAATTTGTTTGCGTTTTTACAATAAACGGTACAACCAATTAACAATAAGGCATTAAAAGAAAATAAAAAGTTTAGGTCAAGTAATGGAACAGAGGAATGGGGTGGTTTGGGAATGAAGGGGACCCGGAGGATAGGAGCGAAGTACCTGTAGTATAGCTGGTTAGGAAAGGGGAGAATAGGAATATGACCTTTAACCTCTTAGCACCCCGCCTCCTGGCCCTTTAAGAGGGGTGGGGTTTTAGGGTCATGTGACCGCCGTGATTCGCCGTCACATGATCGGAAAAGGTCCTGATCGAAAGGGGAGATTGGGACCTTCCTGGGAGTTGGGGACATATGTGCTGGGAGCGCTCTCAGCACATACAGATGTGTTCAAAATAATAGCAGTGTGTTGAAAAAAGTGACTAAAGCTGAAAATCCTTCTAATAGCTTTTATTTCCATCCACACAAATGCATTGGGAACACGACACATTCTATTCCAAATCACAACATGAAGAAAAATACATCAAATTTGTGTTGTTCCTCTAAAAAAATGGAAGAAAAGTGAATATTAGACGGTTCAAAAAAAAATGGCCGTGTTTGTATTCTTCTTTACAAACTCAAACATTCACTATATAAACTGAGAAATGTTTGAAGATTTTGCTTTCCTTTGAATGACTTCATGAATATTTGGTTGTAGTCGCACTATTTCTGAGAACTGCTGTACATCTGTGTTGCATGGAGTCCCCCAACTTCTGGCCCCTGTGATCAGGTATTCCAGCCCAGGATGATTGGACCACATTCCACAGTTCTTCTCTATTTCTTGGTTTTGCCTCAGAAACGGCATTTTTGATGTCACCCCACAAGTTTTCTATTGAATGAAGATCCGGGGATTGGGCTGGCCACTCCATAACGTCCATCTTGTTGGTCTGGAACCAAGATGTTGTACGTTTACTGGTGTGTTTGGGGTCGTTGTCTCGTTGGAACACCCATTTCAAGGGCATTTCCTCTTCAGCATAAGGCAGCATGACCTCTTCAAGTATTCTGATGTATTCAAACTGATCCATGATCCCTGGTATGCGATAAACAGGCCCAACACCGTAGTATGAGAAACATCCCCATATCATGATGCTTGCACCACCATGCTTCACGGTCTTCACAGTGTACTGTGGCTTGAATTCAGTGTTTGGGGGTCGTCTGACAAACTGTCTCCGCCCACTAGACCCAAAAAGAACAATCTTACTTTCATCAGTCCACAAAATGTTGCGCCATTTCTCTTTAGGCCGGTCAATGTGCTCTTTGGCAGATTGTAACCTCTTCAGCACACGTCTTTTTCCCAACAGTGGGACTTTGCGGGGACTTCTTGCAGATAGCTTGGCTTCACATCGGCGTCTTCTAATTGTAACAGTCCTCACAGGGAACGTCACACCTTCTTTCATCTTCCTGGAGCTGATTGTTGGCTGAGTCCTCACAGGGAACGTCACACCTTCTTTCATCTTCCTGGAGCTGATTGTTGGCTGAGTCCGCCCCATTTTGGCTATTCTTCTATCCATTCCAATGGTAGTTTTTTCGCTTTCTTCCACGTCTTTCAGGTTTTGGTTGCCATTTTAAAGCATTTGCCATCATTTTAGCTGAGCAGCCGATCATTTTCTGCACTTCTTTATATGTTTTCCCCCCTCCAATCAACTTTTTAATCAAGGTACGCTGTTCTTCTGAACAATGTCTGGAACGACCCATTTTCCTCAGAATTTCAGAGAGAAATGCACTGTAACCAGCATGTCCAACATTTGCTGCCTTCCTTCCTTAAATAAGGGCAATAATTGCCACCTGTTTATCAAAGAATGAATGAACTCACTAATAGAACTCCACACTGCTATTATTTTGAACACGCCCCTTTCAATGAGTGATTCAATGACACAGAATCAGCAGCATGCATGTCAGGACTGTTGGGTCTGTTGGATTTCTATTACTCTACTACACACCTGCTAGGAAATTATCTGCCATGTAGAAATATCATTTCCACCAAAAACAGAGATTGATCCGGTTAGTGATGTCTGACTGATATTATTTTGAACACAACTGCATTTTTTAATTGCACACAATTATGCGGCCGCGCAGCGTCAAGGGGTTAGGGCTGTTTATTTATTTCAGGTCCTTATATAGCGCCATCAATGTACACAGCGCTTTACACATATATTGTACATTCACATCAGTCCCTAACACTCAAGGGGTACAATCTAAGGTCCCTAACCCTCAAGGGGTGTACAATCTAAGGTCCCTAACTCACTTTCATACATACTATGGACAATTTAGACAGGAGCCAATTCACCTACCAGCATGTCTTTGGAGAGTGGGAGGAAAACGGAGTACCCGGGAGGAAACCCACGCAGGCACAGGGAGATCATGCAAACTCCAGGCAGGTGGTGCCGCGGCTGGGATGTGAACCAGCGACCTGAGTACTGCCAGAGGGAAGTGCTAACCACACCTGTGCACAAGCGCCCATTTATTTGAATGGGCTGCCATTCCCGGGACACACAGGAAAGACGTCCCTGCACTTTTTTTTTCAAAATCGCGGTCCACACGGGAACTGAGGTCCCCAGTACGGTTGAGATTTCCACTGCAGGCACTGCGTGCCATTAGGATTGATGGCACCCCGCCCCCGGGCCCTGCATTTCCCTCTGCCTAAAAGATTTCAGTTTGTTGTTCTACTGAGTTGTACAGTTTATAGGTCACATTAAAAAAAGTGGAAAAAATTCTGAAATGATTGATCTTCATCTCATTTTATTTTTTTTACATCACACAAACCTGACATTTTAATAGGGGTGTGTAGACTTTTTTTTTTTTCAATATCCACTGTAGCTTGGTGTCCTTTGCGGGCCAAGCCTTGTGCTGAAACCAAGGGCTGAACTGAGGCTTTGAAGTGGAATCCTGGGGAAAGTGTGGAGGTGCTTTGCATTTAGAGACGAGAGGAACACTTGAATCGGAGGCGTCTCACCAAAGAGGTGTCTATTTGGAAGGGTATACCCGGGAGGCAACTCTTAGGCTCCATGTACAGTGAAGGAAATGCGTATTTGCTCCCCGGCTGATTTTGAATGTTCGTCCCTCACAAAGAAATGATCGGTCTAACAATGGAATGTTCGGTGTAACACTGAGAGACAGAATACAACAAAATCAGCAGAAATGCGTCTAGCAAATGATGACTGATCTGCATGTTCATGAGGGAAAGAAGTATTTGATCCCCTATCATTCAGCAGGATTTCTGGCTCCCAGGTGTCTTTCATACAGGTAACAAGCTGAGATTAGAAGCAGTCTCTTAAAGGGAGTGCTGCTAATCTCATTGTGTTCCCTGTATAAAAGACACCTGTCCACAGGAGCAATCAAACCATCAGATTCCAAACTCTCCACCATGGCAAAGACCAAAGAGCTGTCCAAGGATGTCAGGGACAAGATTGTAGACCTACACAAGGCTGGTCTGGGCTACCAAACTATGGCCAAGCAGCTTGGTGAGAAGGTGACAACAGTTGGTGCAATCATTTGCAAATGTAGTTCTGGGATGATTCCTCACTGTTTCTCATGATCATTGACACTCCACGAGGTGAGATCTTGCATGGTGCACCAGACCTAGGGAGACTGACACTTGTTTTGTGTTTCTTCCATTTGCGAAAGCCTGAAGGACTCATGGTGTAGAATCTGCCCAAGTCCTGCTAGGATCATCTTTGGAGTGAATTGGAAAGCTAATGCTCAGCTAGGTCTTCTCCTCCAGTATCAGAATCCAACCTCACAAATGTTGGCCAGCTCCATGAAGACATTACATGACTAGTCTGGTGTGGAGGAACTCCAATGTCCTGCACAGAACCCTGATGTCAACCCTACTGAACACCTTTGGGATGGATTGGAATTCCAATGGTGAGCCAGATCTTCAGTATCTGACCTCAGAAATGGTGGCCAACTCCATGAATTCATGGTTTGACCAGTTTGGTGTGAAGGAAATCTAGTGTCCTGCACAGAGCCCTGACCTGAACCATACTGATTACCTTTGGAATTAAATGGAAAGCTGAGGGTCAGCCAGGTCTTCTTCAGCATCAGAACATGACCTCAAATGGTGGCCAGCTCCATGAAGACATGGTTTTGATCAGTTTGGTTTGGAGGAAATCAGGTGCCCTGCACAGAACCCTGACCTGATCCCTACTGAACCGCTTTGGGATGGAGTGGAACTCCAGAGTCCTTTGCTGTACGATTAAGATACAAAAGGTTTTGCATGGAGTACTATACCCCAAGTCTGCAGCAGAAATTAGCTCAGGGGTGTTCGGATCTTAGTCCGAACCCACTAGGAAGCCATCACAGCACCCCTCCAACCAAACGCGGCCAAGGCATTCTGTATACACAGGGTGGCTAATGCCTTGGCCGCTTATGACTGGTGAAGCCCCATGACAGCTTCCTGGTGGGATACACTCAGGTGGGTTTGGACTTGGATCCGAACACACCCGAGCTCATCCTTACTCTACAGCAGGTCAGGATCTGGTGACAAAGAGAATCCTGGGACAACGTCTCACCTTGCCACCCAATCATTGGTATTGATGTTGAAGCTTGTGATGGTTCCGGTAAAAAGGGGCGTGGTCTCGAACAGCCACACCTTCATGTTGGCACAGGCGTCCCACTGGGGCTGGCCTTTTTCGTCCTTACCATTGTAGCCCAGGCCGGACAGAATGCAGACACCTTCCTACGGGGGACAGAGGAGGTCAGTAAACACAGAACATGATGAAAGCTGAACTATTAAATGCACTCAAAAAGGGGCGAGCCTACCTACGAAAGGATCTGTATTCCTGTCCATCCAGTCCTGAGATTTATACAGCTCGGCCACACAACACAGCCCGGTCTGGAAGGGCAGGGGGTCCTGAGTGGTCTCTGCTGCAGCTCAATAAGGCAAGAGCTGGCCATACACAGGTCAAAGCTGGCCAGACTCAGCAGGGACCGGGTGAATCTTGGTGTGGGGCCACCCTCACTCCACAGAAGTCATTCCTTTGCAGCTGTCAGAATACAATGTACCAGCAAGGGACTTCTCCAACCACTTAGTTTCTAAAGGGCAGCTTGCGGCTGGGGAAGGGTGGTAAAAAAAAAAAAAAAAAAATGGACGTAGATCGAGCCTTCAATTTACCCCCCCTCCAAGACTACCCCTCCCCATCTGAGCGCAGCAGCCGAAGCCAAGAATTAAAGCTCCTGTCACATATGGAGGGCAGCATGGCATTCACATTTGACACATACAAGCGGATAAGTTCCTGCTACAACCGTGTGCAATGCATGCAGTCGCAGGATTTCTAGGGTTAAAACAAGCAGCCTATCAAAGGCCCTCTGAAAAGCAACCCACCACGTATAGCTATTCAGAGGGCAACACAACGTAAATGAGCCTTGTCCCTCTCCCCAGCTTATGACTGGACCGTGAAAGGAGAAGCAGCAGACTGATCAGTTCTCTCTTCTCTCCTCCTATCAGCAAGCCCCTGGTCAGCACATGAGCCTTGCATTGCAAACGAATGGCTCCTCGTCCCAATTCACCGTCTCCCAGCCTCAGCTCTGCTGCACAGAAGCTGATATAAGCCTCTAATTAGGTAATCATCCCTTTGACAGCACCAAATTGCTAGGGGGGAGGGGCAGGATTGGAAGCCAACCAGGAGTCCTGCATTTACCGGCGCGGACAAGGAACAGGCTGAATGAAGTACAGAGCAGAGAGATGTCCTTCCCCGCACCTTCACCGTCCTATCGCGGGTTGGAGGCGGGGAGGTGAGCAGGCCCCCGCTCGTTAACATCAGCAGGGCAAAGGCTGACTGTATGATCTGGCACTGCTGTGTAAATCTCAGGACAGGATGGACAGAAATACAAATCCTTTGGAGGGTAAACCAGCTCCCTTCTATGTATTTCAATGGTGTATTCAGCCGTTTCCCCAGAGTTTGCCTTTAACCCCATCAATACCGGGCACTTTCACCCCCTCTCTGCCCAGGCCAATTTTCAGCTTTCTCAGGACAGGACAGATATCCCCCAAATGTCAGGACGGTACAGATATCCCCCAAATGTCAGGACGGTACAGATATCCCCCAAATGTCAGGACGGTACAGATATCGCCAAATGTCAGGACGGTACAGATATCCCCCAAATGTCAGGACGGTACAGATATCCCCCAAATGTCAGGACGGTACAGATATCCCCCAAATGTCAGGACAGGACAGATATCCCCCCAAATGTCAGGACAGTACAGATATCCCCCAAATGTCAGAACAGTACAGATATCCCCCAAATGTCAGGACAGTACAGATATCCCCCAAATGTCAGAACAGTACAGATATCCCCCCAAATGTCAGGACGGTCCAGATATCCCCCAAATGTCAGGACGGTACAGATATCCCCCAAATGTCAGGACAGTCCAGATATCCCCCAAATGTCAGAACAGTACAGATATCCCCCAAATGTCAGAACAGTACAGATATCCCCCAAATGTCAGAACAGTACAGATATCCCCCAAATGTCAGAACAGTACAGATATCCCCCAAATGTCAGAACAGTACAGATATCCCCCAAATGTCAGGACAGGACAGATATCCCCCAAATGTCAGAACAGTACAGATATCCCCCAAATGTCAGGACAGGACAGATATCCCCCAAATGTCAGGACAGTACAGATATCCCCCAAATGTCAGGACAGGACAGATATCCCCCAAATGTCAGGACAGTACAGATATCCCCCAAATGACCCCTTTTTGCAGAGTAGACAGTCCGACGTACTTCATAAGAGGCATGGCGAGTTTTTTCAAGTTGTAATTTTTTGTCATAATTGAAATTAAAAAAATTAATTTTTTCAATTTTTTTTGCATCCTGTCACCAGTGCAGTACAGCACCATCATTTTAACTGGTGTGGCAGTGATCATGGACACTGACTGGTGACAGTAGGAAAAAAAAACATTTTTTGATCGTTTATTAAATTTTTTACTTTTTTTAAGATTTTGTTTTTCATATTTCGCTATGACCAGAGTAGTATATTGTTACCATAGCAACATTGTACTACGTTGGGGAAGTGACCAGGATTTTTTTTTATTTAACACAATTTGATTGCTTATAGCTAAGAATTTCTTGGCTATAAGCAAGCATTTAACTGAATGAAATCTATTCATTCAGGTTTTTTTTTTTGTTGTGATTGACCATGGCTAGTCACATGACACAGATGGGCTGTGACTGGCCCAGCCTGTGCATGTGATCGCTGTGACCATTCACAGCTAGACACTAGTATACAATGGATGGCATGAAAGGAAGCCATCCATTGTATACAACTGTCATGTGACCTGCTGTGATTGGTCACAGCAGGTCACATGGTACTGGCAACGGGGCCGGTACACAGATCTGTCATCGGCCGTGTCAGTGACAGATTGTGGCCCTGCGGGCACTCGCAAGGCACGATCCGGGAATGACGTCATAGGACGCCCTCCTGGACTGACGAGAGGGAAGTCGTTAAAAAAAAAAAAAAAAAGCGCGTGCAAAAATGCAATAACGTAAAATGAAATAAATGTCATATTCTTCACATGGGAGCGTTTGTTTCCCCGCCGTGCATACAGTATCTAAAGAGCTTACCGTCACCAGCCAGCAAGTCACATATTTATACAGCAAGATTTTCCCCCAAATTGTCATGTAGACACAACGGTACCAGAAAGGCTGATTCTGCAAACAACAAGAACAGAACGAAACGGAAAATTAGAAACAGAATCAACCAAAACCCGCAACATGTCACAGACGCATCTCGGCTCCTCAAACTGGCTTTCCACGTTTCCTAGCATCCTCTCCATGCTCACGGTGACCCCTCTTACTTCCTGATATAATGGACTCCCTTTTTGCCCCACCCACTTAAATGGAACCTATTAGGTCCCCCAAAACGTTACCCCCGGGTTCACACCTAAGCGTTTTCCGTGGCGTTTTGCAGAAACGCATTACAGTCCATTTACCATGATTTCCTGAGGGACACGCTCACATTTCCATGTTTTTATCCCCTGCGTTTTTTTTTTGGAAAGCGTTGTCTTTTTGGATCTATAGACTTCAATTGGAATGCTGCAGAAAGGCATGTAGTGCGTTTTTAATGCGTTTTAAATCTGCCTAGCAACAAGATTTTTTTTTTTTTTAATGGGTCAAATGCAAACTGCATGGGTGTGAACCTAATTCGGTTGTTGGCTGGCTGTCTGGCTGGCAAGTTGAACTGGGGACTTTCTTTTTTTTGTTGATATGCGTTGCCCGTCCATGTTTCTTGTTGTAAAAGCCAGTTATAGACTGGGGCAGTGACCACTATTTGTACTGTTGTATTGTAGGTGAGCGGGTGGACTGGAAACCATGGCTGCCATTGTGCTACATGCTGGGTGCCTAGTGTGCTCCGGTGCCTTTAAGGAGGGGTGTGCTCCCTCAGGTTCACCTGCCCTTGGTCTATCCATTAAATGCATGTGCCTCTACTATGGGGGCTCTCAAAAGTTGGTGTCACTGACATCCCCAGTGACACCAATACAGTGATCAGTGCTAATAACAAGCACCGACACTGTACAAATGGCACTGGGCAGGAAGGGTTAGCATCTGGGGCAATCAAAGGGTTAACTGTGTTGTGTTTTACTAGTAAGACGTGCTGTGCAGAGAAATACAAAGCAGCACGTCCTTGCTGGTAGGAGACCTGCGTTGTTTACACACAGACCTCTCCCCTGTCAGTTACACACAGCAATCGTTGGGAATCTCCGGCCGGGACCCGGTGATTGAGTGAGTGCCCCCTACCTGGAAATGCAAATCACACACACGGAAATGCGTATTTCCTCCCCTCCTGATGGTGAATGTTCGCCCCTCACACAGAAATGATCGGTCTAAACAATGGAATGTTCTGTGTAACACTGAGAGACAGAATACAACAACAAATTCAGCAGAAATGGGTCTAACAAATGATGACTGATCTGCATGTTCATGAGGGAAAGAAGGATTGGATCCCCTATCATTCAGCAGGATTTCTGGCTCCCAGGTGTCTTTCATACAGGTAACAAGCTGAGATTAGAAGCAGTCTCTTAAAGGGAGTGCTGCTAATCTCATTGTGTTACCTGTATAAAAGACACCTGTCCACAGGAGCAATCAAACCATCAGATTCCAAACTCTCCATCATGGCAAAGACCAAAGAGCTGTCCAAGGATGTCAGGGACAAGATGGTAGACCTACACAAGGCTGGACTGGGCTACCAAACTATGGCCAAGCAGCTTGGTGAGAAGGTGACAACAGTTGGTGCAATCATTCACAAATGGAAGAAACACAAAACAAGTGTCAGTCTCCCTAGGTCTGGTGCACCATGCAAGATCTCACCTCGTGGAGTGTCAATGATCATGAGAACAGTGAGGAATCATCCAAGAACTACACGTGAGGATCTTGTCAATGATCTCCAGGCAGCTGGGACCACAGTCACCAAGAAAAACAATTGGTAACACACTACGCCGACAAGGACTGAAATCCTGCAGTGCCCGCAAGGTCCCTCTGCTCAAGAAAGCCCATGTCCAGGCCCGTCTGAAGTCTACCACTGAACATCTGAATGATGCAGAGGAGGACTGGTGGGAAGTGTTGTGGTCAGAGGAGACCAAAATCCAGCTCTTTGGCATCAACTCAACTCACCATGTTTGGAGGAGGAGGAATGCTGCCTATGACCCCAAGAACACCATCCCAACTGTCAAACATGGTGGTGGAAACATTCTGCTTTGGGGGTGTTTTTCTGCTAAGGGGACAGAACAAAAGTGACGATGGACAGGGCAATGTACCATCAAATCTTGGGTGAGAACCTTCTTCCCTCAGCCAGGGCATTGAAAATGGGTGGTGGATGGGTGTTCCAGCATGACAATGACCCAAAACACACGGCCAAGGCAACAAAGGAGCGGCTCAAGAAGAAGCACATTAAGGTCTTGGAGTGGCCTAGCCAGTCTCCAGACCTGAATCCAATTGAAAATCTGTGGAGGGAGCTGAAAGTTTGGGTTGCCAAACATCAGCCACCAAACCTTAATGACTTGGAGAGGATCTGCCAAGAGGAGTGGGCCAAAATCCCTCCTGAGATGTAAACCTGGGGGCCAACTCCAGGAAACGTCTGACCTCTGTGATGGCCAACAATGGATTTGCCACCAAGTACTAAGTCATGTTTTGTGAAGGGGATCAAATCCTTCTTTCCCTCATGAACATGCAGATCAGTCATCATTTGTTAGATGCATTTCTGCTGAATTTGTTGTTGTATTCTGTCTCTCAGTGTTACAATACACCGAACATTCGATGTTTAGACCGATCATTTATTTGTGAGGGGCGAACATTCAACATCAGCAGGGGAGCAAATACGCATTTCCTTCACTGTATATACTAATTATTTTTAGTGCCGCCCTGAGGCAGTAGTTTCTACAGGGAGGAGGTTGAAATAAATTGGTGGCTCTAGAACAATGCAGACATTTCCTAGGTGGGGCAATAAAGCCCTCTGCGACCCGTCTCACCGCATACTCTTCTGTCAGGAAGTAGCTGTCAGGCAGGTAGGGGCCCAGCACGGTGTACACCGTCAGGAAGAAGAGTCCAAGGCACAGGCGCTTCATGGCCGGCACGACGCTGCAGAGAGATGGGGGGGGGGGGGGGGGGTCATACTTCGGAGTGACAACACACAATGCAATCTATATGGAAATCTCATACACACCTATTAGGAACTTGCCCCTCCACGTCGCTCAGCTCTCCCTTTATCAAGCTCAGGTACTTCACCATAGAGAACTGGGGGCCCACTAAGAACCCCCCATAGTAGTAGGAGAAGCCGCAGACCTCCATCAGCGTCGGGACCCCTTGCACAGCATAACGTTGCTGGTCAGGCGACAGCGATGTCTGCAGGGAGAAACAATAAATACATGTAAAGGGGACACCCAGGATGGATGGATGGCTAGAATGCTTCAGGTCACCGGCAAAGAATGATTTTGGAAAACTCAAAAACAGTTTGTAGGGCGACGTCACCCTGCCGCGGTGCAGAACCGCTGTGCTTTGGGCAAAGGGCAGCTAACCCGCGGTTAGCATTCCCATAGACTTCTATGGAGGTCTTGCAGCGTTGGTGCGGTTTCAGAAAGCGCACAAAAAGGTGCGGTATTGCAGGGGTTCTGGGGCACTTTCTGAAAATGCACCACAGGATGTCAGACTCCCAGGGGCGGACTGACCATTTGGAAACTCTGGCACTGCCCGAGGGCCCGGGGTCAGTAGGGGGCCCCATGAGATGCTCCTGGTACCTTTTTCATAGGCTTTTTTGAATTTGGGCAAGGACACGGGGGCCCCATGATTCCCTATGGCCCCATGATTCCCCATGAGTTGTCAGTCTGCCCCTGCAGATGCCTATGAGAAAGCGCAGCTATCACGCATTAAAAATGGCAGGTTAGCGGCTTTTTACCAACATCGCAAACCGGGCAGTGCGAAGGCGCCCTCATAAGACTCCATCCAACTGCAGCTTTTTGTTTAATTCTATTATACTTTCTCTTAAGCCCGGGTTCACGCTGCTGCGACTTTGCATGCGACTTGGGGAGTTGATTTATCTAAAAACTGAAGAGTGCAAAATCTGGCACGGCTCTGCATGGCATACAAACCAATCAGCTTCCAGGTTTTATTGTCAAAGCTTCATCGAACAACATGGCGTTAGAAACGGATTGGCTGCCATGCACAGCTGCACCAGATTTTGCACTCTTGAGCTTTAGTAAATCTACCCCAAAATCGCATGATAATTGAAAACCCATTTATTTCAATTGCGGGCCGTTCCAATCAATGCGACTCAAATTGCAGCGCCTTTGATATAGTTTCCTGTACTACTTTGATGGGACATTTATGCGACTCAAGACTCCTCAGGCTTCAAGCAAGTCGCACTGGAAATCCCAAATCAATGGGGCGGCAGCAGTGTGAACCAAGCCTTAGCCTGGTCCAGCAACATCACAGATCCGCCTTCTCGCAGTGGTGGTGGTAGGCAGTCAGGGTCTTTATTCCCAGACATTTCAACGCTGACACGTGTTTTAGGGGTACCAGAAGTCCAGGATTGTGTGATGGTGCACCCCTAAGGAGGTGTGTCCATGACGCCCAGGGCACACAGAAGTGGATGGATGATGATGAGCATCATGCTACCCAGAAAATTGCGGGCATTTGATCCCACAGTGGCATATCTGTCTGCAGGAGTCAGCACTTGAGAAAGATAGATATATATATATTATTAGTGTGTGTATATTTTATTATATATATATATAATATATTATATATATATATAAATATATATATATATATATATATATATATAGTCAGGTCCATAAATATTGGGACATCAACACAATTCTAACATTTTTGGCTCTATTACACCACCACAATGGATTTTGAAATGAAACAAACAAGATGTGCTTTAACTGCAGACTGTCCGCTTTAATTTGAGGGTATTTACATCCACATCAGGTGAAACGGTTGTGTAGGAAGATGAGATCCAAAGAGCTGTCACTATAACAGTGACGGCCATTCAATAGGCTGAAACAAACAAAACAAACCTAATCATGAGAGCTATCAAAAGAAGCATTAGACCGTGGTCCAAAACAACTGTTTTTGTGAAAAAACATTCTTAAAAAGAAAGGAATGCACCTGTGAGCTCATCAACACCAAAAGACCCGGAAGACCACGGAAAACAACCATGTGGTGGATTGAAGCCGAACTGAATTCTTTCCCTGGTGAAGAAAATCACCCTTCACAACAGTTGGCCAGATCAATGACACATCTCCCTGGAGTTAGGTGAATGGTGTGTCACAAGCCTACACCTAATCAAGAGAAGACCTACACCAGAGGTTGAATACAGAGGGATCACCACAAGAATGGAAAACCATTGGTTGAGCCTCAAAAACTGGAAGGCCAGATTAGACGGGGGGGATTTGCCAAACGACAATGTACAAAAAGCCTTCACAGTTCTGGAACAACAATCCTATGGACAGATGAGACCCCAGATCCTGACATTCAACTTGTACCAGAGTGATGGAAGAGACGAGTATGGAGAAGGAACTGCACATGGTACTAAGCATACCACCTCAACAGTGATCAAGGTGGTGGTAGGTAGTGTCATTGCTAGTGGGCATGTATGGCTGCCAAAGGAAACTGCTTCTCTTGTATTTATTGATGATGTAGAACTTCTGACAAAAGCCGCCGGATTAATTCTGAAGTGTTTCGGGAATATTAACGGCTTCAATTCACCCAAAATTGCTTCACAACTCCATTGGAACCCATCACAGTGCAGAAGGACAAATACCCAAAGCAGACTGCAAAAGCAACCCAAAAAAGGGAAA